GAATGAGGCTGCCTATCACAAGGGAGAAAAAAAAAAAAAAAAAAAAAAAAAAAAGGAAAGAAGAACAACTCAAATGAAAAGCAAACAAACAGCAAAAGAACACAACAAACAAATCTCTGTAGACCGATTCAAGAACAGACTTTGAAACAAGGCAGTTGCAAATTCATAGTACACTTGAGGCTTGTAGTCACTGCAAAATCTTTCCTGCACTGACGGTGCAGGTATGGTGACAACCACCTCCCTTCCACCCAGCACCAATTACCTGTATGCCTCTTACACACTGCTTTCCTAAAAGCCACATGGGATAACAGGATAGTGCTGGCTTTCTGCAATGAGCACTCACACCCCATGTTGGAATGAGGGGGATGCTTTAGTGGGCTCAGGACAGCCACAAAGGGGAAGCTCTGAGAGATGTCATCGTTGAAAAAAAGGCTGAGCAAAACCAAAGTACATGACCAAGAAAGAGCAGGACACAAATGTGGCATCCCAGAATTGCACAGGGAAAAGGGAATGAGGGTCCTGAGCACAGGAGACCCCAAACAGCATTCACTGCATGATCTTTTTTTGGCTTAAAGGCATCAAATTAGCCTCTCCCCTGGATTCTCACACCTGAATGATGTGAAGAAAATAATCTTGCCTTAAGAAGCTGGAAACATATAGCTAAATCAGAAGGAGCAGGATGAGTAAAAGCAGGAGCTCTGAGAGCAGCAGAGGGACACTGTAAAGGACTCCTGAGCTGAGAGAATGCCTTCCCCAGGGGGACTCCAGCAGAAAATGAAAAAGCCTGGAAACAGAAGGTGCCTGGCCAGCATTGGCTCACTGCAGGGAGTCCTGGACAGCATTTCTCTCACAATGCTGGGCCAGGGGAAGGAGAGGCAGGCAAGCTGGTGTCTCAGGGCCTGGTGAGCACAGGATACATGACCCCACGTGTCAGCTTGAATTAAGGCAAGGAGTGCCACTGGGCCTCGCTGCCCAACGCTCCCCTTTCCCTGGACCTGGGAAGGAGGACTAGGGCTGTGCAACAAGCCCAGCTGTCAGATCCTCCTACATCATCTGCAAAGCCATCGACCCTCTCAGGACCTTTGGGAGGGAAAAAATAAATAAGACTCAGAATGCATACTTACAAAAGCCTACTCTATTTTTGGTTATAGGATTTCACTGTGCTTCTGCTTAGGACAGGTTCTGTTTATTACAGGGTTCTCCTCAGAGACTGCAAATGTAAAGGGGGGGGAAATGGCAGAATGGATCCAGGTTTTAAAGAAAGAAAGCACAAAGGGACATCTTCCCCTAAGATGGAGAAGAAAAGGTGCAAACCCAGCAAAACCTCTGGCTCCCTGATGTGCTGTCTAAGGACTAGGGCGAGATTCTGTGTTTATGGAATATGAACCTGATAACTTACGTTTACAGGAAAACCTCCCACAGTGCCTTAACACAGTGCCATAACAACCTTCCTGGCTAGAGGAATCTGCACAGAAGGATAAGAACTTCCTGTGCCTCCTTTATTTGCTATTTATTTCACCAGTCCAGAATTTTGCTTATCAGTTAGTGTTTAGGAAATGTACTGACTTCAGGCATATCAATCTCCAATTTAACTACTCTCTGGACTTCAGCTTAGAAGGAAACCTTTACAAAACACCAGCTCAACAGGGCAGGTGAGTTTCTCAGGCTGCCTAGCTTTAAGTACCATGAATTCATTTCAAGTTTAATGATTCCACATATATGTCAAAATTTGCTTCTACACAGTTTTATAAATCGTTTTAGTGCACATATTTGGTTTGTTTAATTCATTTCTTTACTGTGTTTTAGTACCTGGCAGAATTTGAGTATAAACATTTAATTTATTGCTATATATGATACTTCTACAAAATCCCTTTCTAAGCCAGAGCACAGTGTGACTCTAATCTATGAAACTCCCTGCTATTGTCAGTAACCATTTTTAAACACAGGTTTAATCTTCAGTTTATGATACCACAACCTAAGGTCTCGGCTATGCCTGGAATTATTCTGTACAAAGAAGGTGTAAACACTTGCATAAAAATCACGTAGTCACATCCAAATTGTTGGACTGAAAGGAGGTGTAAAAATTGTAGTAAACGGTGCTTCATACACGGAACTAATTTTACAACAGCCTCAAATTAAAAGTAGGTGGGGACTAAGAAGTGTCTTGATGAAAAATGCTGATTCAAGGCTTCATTTCTATTCAATGATGTACAGTGTCATTACTGGGTGGCTGCACAGAGCAGTGGCTCAGAGTAATTACCCTGTAATGCACAGTGACACTAATGTACTAGTAAACTACTGCAGTTTATACTCTATTCACCACCAGGGTCAGGACTCTGAAAGGCAGGTAAAAATCCCCTGCATGCATAAACAATGTGTGTAAATGTCACCAGTGATAAATTTTTTAAAAAGGAGAAGGAAGGGGCAGTTACAAATAAATCTGTCAACTGAGAATTGCAACTGCAATTTAGTGCAGGAGCACTAAAGCTGTATCTTTTTTTCGTAATACAGGAAGGAAAGATGCTTCTCTTAAAGCATCCTAGCCAGGTTCTATTTCCATTTATTACAATTAAAACTATATGGTGGCTGCTTCTTTTTGCCACTTTGAGTGCAAAGTTGGTCTGCACCTGGTGCTCAGCTTAGTGCAAGGGTAAGCATGGAGGGGAAATGAAGAGCATTAAAGGAGTTGCCAGAAGCATTAGTGGTTTATGCTGAGTGTCATAATGCTACTCTGGTTTTAGACACAGCTACAGGAAATGTGGAGGAACACAAGCTTAAGGACAGGTGATTTTGACTCCTTTGTTTAAAACAGCTCTTGTGGATGAAGCTTGAAACATGACCCAAGCATGTCCTAAGGTGTCAGAAAAAGCAGAAAACAAAAAGGAATTATAAGCCTAATATACTTAGAGAAAAAAAAAAATTACAATACTCTAATGGATTTTGAATGCTGAGACTAGAAATGAGGCAGCAGAGCTACACATTCCACATCCCAGGGCCAGAGGAAAGCCTTGCTCTTCCCCCAGGAGACAGTGCCAATTACTACATTTTTAGCAGCCCCTAGCCATCAGCTAACAGACTGATGCCTCCAGAGCTGGCTTTCTCTCTGGCCTTCTCCTAGTAAGTTACACAAGACTCCTCAAGTCTTTTTACCAGCACACAGCAGCAGTAATAACAGTTCTTCCACCATGAGCAGCTCCTTTAAGATTTCTCAACCAGGGGGGTGGAGGCCCTGGTGAAAGCTGTCAGTGTAGCAGCTTATGTTGGATAAACTCTATTTTACCCTCTCTGCAAGCCCTGCAACTGTTCTGCCTGACCTACTTTCCCTGCTCTTGGTGGCACTGCCATTTATCTTGTGGCAGTACCTCTGCCCTCATGGCCAGCAGACCACTGAAGGGTTTTGTTAGTCTTTAGCTCTTTCAGCTTGGAGAAAGCAAGACACAGGTTCTCTGTCCTGCTGCTGTTCCAGAATCCTTCAATCTTCTACAGTCTGTTCAGATGCCAAGGCAAGGATTTACACTGACCTATTCTAAGTAAGCTCTGATTCATCACCTCAATGACAGACTAGAGCAAGAAGGTCCTGCAAGTCATAACTGTCTCTGCCTCAGTAGACTGCTCTGCTATAAAAGCAAGGTAGTAAATTTTACCACAGAACTGGAGGTTTTCAAATTACTTAGAAGAAGCTGATGATCTCAAATGCACATGTCAAATCCCAGGGTACTTCACTTAAAGCTGAAAGGAGCTTGTGGACTGCCAGAAGATTGTGCACAGCCAGCCTGACTCATGGCAAGACCAGATTTGGAGAAAGAACTGTGAATCTGGCATCCTCACACCACCCAGCACGTGGTTCCACCTCACATATTTCAGTTAAGAGCAGTTAGAGAAACGTGCAGACACAAACACACACCAACTGCCTTACAGTGTTGTGGCAGAATGGTGGCAATCACCACACAGGTCAATTTGGTACTCTTTCTGCCACTGTAGCACCCTTTGAAGAGTGGGAAAAAAAGGGAAAAAAACCAAACCTAAGGTATAGAATATTTCCATGTTATTACACTTTGGCTGTCCTCTTCCTCCCCTTCTCTTCTTCCACAACATTCCCTGGGCTTAAGGGTAATGCCCAGTTGCAGAGTTGACCAGGAAATCCCTTCATATTCCTGTATGATTTTGCTTTGCTATCATCTGTTCCGAGAAGAACAAGCTATTTAGTTTGATATCATACCTCAATATTGGCCAGCCTAACCAAAAGGAGCAAAGGGAGGTGTAAGAAGTCTGCACCACCACATAAGCTTGTTCTGGGGACAAGCTCATTTCCCCATGCCTCAGGGGCAAACACTGGGGGCTCAGCCCTAGGGAATGATTCTTCAAATGGGGCAGAGAAATCAAGGGCTCACATTCATATTGCTTTATTTGCACCTTTCAAGCCAGGTACCTGTCTTAGCAGGACTATTTTGTACTTATTCTGTACATACTGGTTACTAGCATCGCTCCCAAGGGCAATCAGCCCACTTAAAATTTAATTCATCCTCTGTAATGAACAACTCCCCACCAAGTCTAGGAAAAACCCCTCAAGCAACAGCAATGAGGACTGAATCTAGGCTTGAACCACTGTACAACCCGTTCTGTACCCTTTACTCACCTGAAGGGCAGCTGAAATCTGCCCTTTTGCACTCTGCCAGCAGCTCTCTGTGCCTTTGCACCACCATTAGGAAGGAAGGGTGCAAGACACAGGGTGGGACCTAAGGTGTCCCTGTCCCTGCAGGAGCAAAGTAACAGGGAAAGCAAACCAGCCAGTGAAGTGATGGGATGTTCAAAGCTATGTAATGGGATACATGGGACATCCTACATACATCTCTCCTGCAGGAGTCAATTTGCTCCCCAAGTGTCCTTGGGTGGAGGGTGACAGCTTGGCCATGGAGGCTCAGTGAACCAGTGAGTGATATCCACCCATGCCTGTGGCTGGTTTGGAATGCAAGTGAATGGAGACCGTCCCACTGACTCACCCTTGGATGGAGGTCTGTCCATATCCGAATCCAAGTGGATTGGTGGGGCAATGTAGGAAACCTGCCCATGGTGAGCCTGCCCTGTGGACAAATAAGTGGTTTAGTTCTGCTGTTTCCTACACAGATCTATCAGGGCTACAATCAAAGAAATAGCGTTTAGATTAAAAACAGGTTTGCAAGTATTTTGTTCCGCATGTTTTTCACAATGAACTTCCATTTGTGGAGGCACCTGGTGACAAGCTGAAACCACTTCCATCTCTCACTTCTTCCTTGCAGACGCAGGTACTCTGGTGAATTTTAGTTACACCTGCTTTACCACTACTACATATACTTTACACCATGGTCCCTTGAAATGTATTCTCTCTCTCTCTCTCTCTCTCTCTCTCTATATATATATATATATGCTATGGAAGAGAACACAATTTCACACAAGCCCATTCAATCTGTTAATCTCACTTTAGGAGGGAAACAAGTGTTCCTATGTCACAGCCATTTTTGAAGGAAGCATGGTATGAAGCACAATCCCACCTGTTTGTCCCACCTGCAGGAAACACATATATCATTTTCAGAGCTCAGTATTGCTTTTACATGAGTGGAAGATTTTTTGGTTTCTCAGTTGCTAAAGACTCAATCCTTCTCCAGAAATTTGGAGGTAACTATATCTAGAAATTTCTATTTATAATAAAAACATTTTTTTTTGTAATTCATCTATTTACTGTACCAATTTACAGGGTTGTTAATCTCTTCTTCTAAACATGGAAAGTTAATGACACACAGATTATGATAACATTTAGAGTAACCTTCCCATTTCAAGTAATATTCGTTCTGCAATAAAAGCAGTTGATTCCTCTTAAGAGACACATTCCAAATAATTAATACAGCTCCCTGTTGACACTTGCTGTTGTTGCTCCAAGCAATTTCCAAGCTACCGTCACAGGCAGAGGAGCAGCAGTACAGTCTTCAGGCTTCTTTGTAATGACACCCAGGAATACCACAAGCACAGTATGCTGGTGCACATAATATGTTGAAAACATCTCTTCAGGGAGATAAAATATTAATGAGAAAGAGGAGAGAAAAAAAAAAAAAAAAAGAAGTGTGTTTGAATGTGCAGGTTATATTTACTGCTTTACACTGAGGATGACTCAGATAATTTGCATTATTAGCCATTGCAAGAACTGGACATAATTCAGGTTTAAAATCTACCGACACATCATAAATTCTGTATTTGCCTTTAAGTGCTTTAACATGGGAAATTTGCTTCAGGCGAACCCATAGCAAACAACAAGTTACTCTGCTTTCCTCTTCTCGTTTACATGTTAAAAACCCATTTGATGTCATTAGTGAGAAAAAGTCATCATTTAATAGCTGCTCGTTTCTGCAGCAGAAACAAGCAGACGGTCTTCTCTCACTCTGAGCTGCTCAATGTGCAGGATGATCAGTGCCCTTATAGCCACAGAACAGTCTCTTCATTTTCTGCATCAAAGATACCACTGAAATGTAAAACAGCTGAGCTTTGCAGGAAACTCTGGAAATCACCTAGCCCAGCTCAAGGGCAGTAAGAGCCCATAGCAAGTGTCCAATCTGATTTCCAAAATCTCTAAGGATGGAGACTCCACAATCTCTCTGGGCATTCTGTACCAGTGCCTTGCCACCCCCACAGGAAAAAAGAAAAATAGAATAGCTTTTCCACTATCTGCCTGTAAGAAGAGCCTGGCTCCATCTTCTTTATTGCCTGTCATCATGTACTTATACACATCAGTAAGATCCCTTGGATAATCTGGTCCACGCTGGATACTCACAGCTTTTCAGCCCATCCCCACAAAGAGATGCTTCAATCCCTTTATCATCATTATGGCCCTTTGCTGGACATGCTCTGGGAACACTGCTGACACATGGTTTTCGGGTTGTTTTTTTTTTTGCTTGGTTGGGTTTTTTTAAACAACTTGGTCTTCCTGAGAGCAAACCAAGAAAAAAAAATTATTCTGGAGGCTTCAAGGGCTAGGCTGAAGTAAATAAGACACATCCACATTACATGAAAGATTAAAAAACATCTGTGAGTTTGTTTAGACATTCATTACAATTGAGTAATAACTGTGGAAGCTTATTATTGCTTTATTAAGGCTTTTACTGTATATGGAGGAAGCAGTAGCATCAAATGCTCTCTAGTGATAAATGAAACAAGTTGCAGAAAGCTTTTATCTATTTGCTGCTGATGCAAAACAGTACTTCCAGAAAAAAAAAAATCAAACTTCTGTTACTACTGCTACCGTGTACAACTAAAAAAAACCCTAGACTTCTGTTAGATTGCACACTTCTCACAATGCTAATAAATCAAATTTTGGATTTTAATACTTATTCTCCAAAAAAAGCAATGCAAACAATTTTTGTGATTTGTTTTCTGGGCATGAATGCCAGCTCACTTGTTCTTCAGACTCATCAGAGTGTTCAAACTGGAGAAACAAAGGGTCTCCACTGTTACCTTATGAATCTTTTTAATCAATGGAATCACATATTTGCTTTGGTTTAACCATTATTGCCAGTGGTGACCTTTGAGACAATTGAGGGAAGGGAGGTAAGGGGAAGTGTCTGAAGCAAGACTTGGCAATGGCGCTGGTACACAAGCACATGGTCTTCTTGGCTTTAATGGCATTAAAAGTTCTGCCACTCACTCAGTTAAAACCCAAAATTTTACCCAATGTATCTATGAAAGGTTTTGAGATTGATATCACTGGTACAGCTCAAGTTGATCTCAAATACTGACAGAATAAACTTTCCCAAGTGAGGCCAACTCCCAATCCCTGTGGAGTGAGTTTTGCAGTTTTGCAAGCCCAGCCCTAGGAATGAAGGACTCTCTCTCTTCAGTTCCAGCTGCAGTAGAAAAGCACTTTAAAAAATGGATGTGAGAGCCTAAAAAAAAAAAAAAATTAAAAAAGGCAGAAACACTCCAACACTCCACACCTGTCTCTCCAGTCCTTCAGCTGTTTTCTCTGCACATTGAGTCTGAGCTGACAGTGGTGCAGGAAGAAGAGAGAAGACTTCTGACAAAATACCAAAGGTCAAGATGTCTCTGTAGCTGAAGGGAAGTTGAGCATGCCTCGTATTGGAACAGCTTGCATGGCCTTCTCCCAATCCCACCCTGCCTATAACCATCTACTCTTTCTGCAGCCAGGTAAAAAGTAAACAGCAATCAAATGTAATCATCAAAGTAATGTTTGATGAAATTTCCAAATTTGCACCTACCAGCTTAGGTTGTGTTCTGTTTCCTTTATCCCTCTTGCCTGCAGAGGCCTGTGCCCATGGCTCCCTGTGAGGGCTGATGCTGGAAGACAGCTGTGGATCATCCCTGACCTGCTTGTCTTGCACCACAATGCAGGGATGCAGGTCTGGCCAACACTGCCTAAATATCAACACCATCTTGGGTGAGACAGGGCAAACAGAGGTGTGGCACAGGTAGCCAGCAGTCTTCATAGCAGCCAGGCCACCTGCGTGTGCTGTGACAATGTGAAAAAAACCCCATGTTTGGTAGAAACAATTTTGGGAGCAACAATATGGATATGACCTTGAAAGTCTATCTGGTGACATGCCTTCCTCGGGTAGAGGAAATGAGAAAGATGTTTGTGAATTAGAAAAAGTGCTTGACTGGCCATTATTTTCAGGTCTGACACATGAGAGATACAACGCATTTTAAAAGGCCAATAACTTAGAAGAACAAAGATAATGTTTTGTGAAGACTGAAGGAAACATAATAGCTTGGCCTAAGGGATTTTTTCTTTACCATTTTTTAAAAAAAGGAATCTGGATGCTCATAGACAGAAAATAAACATCCACACATCTTCAAAAATCTGCCCCTAAGTGATGTAGTCACCTACAGATGCAATAATATAAAACTACAGAAAAAATCTGCAAATGCATGGACTAACCAAGAAAAGTAGCAACAAAGAATTCTCATGTGTGTATCTATTAAAACCACTTCCTCCTGATCCTTTTTGGAAGCATACCCACTGTTTGTAGCACCTGAGAGGGAAGGCCTTCCTCCTATCCTGGGCCAAATTTCCAGTGCTGGTGAAATTTGATTTTTCTCGAGTACAATGCATACTGTCATGTGTGCACTTGGGAAACATTTCTGCCTGACCCCTGCTCACTTTCTACCTGAGATTTTCCATCACAGAAAAACTGAACAGAAAACATAAGACTGAATGATTCAAACCCCAAAAAACAAAGGACAAAAATCACCAAAATTTGCCAGGCGAAAAATAAAGCTTTTTAGAACATTTGATGCCTTGTCTTCTAAAAGCCCTGGTGATGCCATGGAGATAACCACAGTCACCTGAATGAATGGCTCTCCCTTTTCCCTGCTGCTCCTTTGCTCAGTGCCCATGGTGGGTATTGACAGTTGTGCAGCAGAATTGCAGTTCTGCCCCACACCTGACTCAGATCCAGCAGCAAAAGTGAGAATCCACCAGGAGATACATTGTTTTTAAACAAACATGCTTCAGACTCTTTGTTCTCATGGGATGAGAGTCCCTTTTCTTTGCTGTCCTTACCCAGAGATGATCACTGCAACACATTTTTTTGCTGTCATGTCAGATTACTCTGATTTCCACCCATTTTCCAGCCTGTTTCAGTATTCTTTTGTCTTCCACCTGTTCACCAGTTCCCAAGATCCTTTTTAGACAACCTAGTCAGCATTTCATGCAGAGGATTTAATGTAATTTCGTGCTGGTATCTCTGATGACCTGTGTTCCCTGGTACTGCTTTTCCTAAACCCCCTCTTCTCTGCACCTCTGAATGCAGGCACCTCCATGGATTTAATCCCTCATCTATTTAATCCCTCATTTCCTTGGATCATCAATTAGGTAATACCCATGGAACCACACATCCATTCCTGAGCCTTTGATTTCAGTTCTTCACTTTTTTTTTTTTTTTTTTTTTTTTTTTTTTTTTTTTTCCTAATAACAACAGGATGGACACATACTAGGTATGCAAAATACATATTCTGAAGAAAAGTCTTGGAAAACATAATGACAATTTTACTAATATCTCTACAGGTAAAATATTCTTTACATGCTGTGGCTTTTTTT